CCCCTCACATTTGCCACAGGTCCGAGCTCCTCTAATGAGCGATCTACAGATAGACAGAGCTCAAGTTCTGAAGATACTCAGTGAGCTAAAGCCTAGTAAATCAGCGGGGAGTGATGGATTATATCCAGCAATCGTCAAGCCACTCGCAGAGATTATGTCAGCTCCCGTGTGTGCATTATACGAGAAATCCCTAAGACTCGGTGAGATACCGAACGACTGGAGGTCGGCGACAGTCGGGGCGATACAATAAGGGGGTCACCGAAAGGCGCCAGGAAACTACAGACCAGTTAGTCTCACTACTATCCTCTGTAAAGGACTAGAGACAATAGTTAGAAACGGCATGGGGGAGCATGTTGCGCGTTACAACTTATTATCCTCATCCCAGCATGGGTTCCTCAAAGCAGGTCATGTCTCAGCAACATGTGCTTCCCGGATGAAGTCACATGGAAGTTAGACGAAGGTCAAAAAGTAGAAGTTTGTTACTTGGGAATTTAGGAAGGCCTTCGACTCGGTAAATCACCGATTATTACTCACGTAGCTCGAGAACTTCGGCCTTCCTGGGAGTCTTATTAAATGGATAGGGGCGTTTCTGAACAGACGTACCTTCAGGGTTCGAGTAGGAGAAACAATATCAGCGGAGGGGAAAGTCACCAGTGGGGTGCCACAGGGCTCCGTCCTAGGCCCGATACTTTTCCCGTTTTACGTCGATGACTTAGTTAGGGGTTTTTCCATCCCGACTTTCGTGTTTGCCGACGATGTCAAATTAATTAACTCAGGCCCACGAGACCAACTACAGGAAGACCTAACAAAGGTTATCCGTTGGACTCAGATGTGGGACCAAGACCTAAACCCGTCAAAGTGTCACATACTGAACACTGACGGCGGTCCAGCTAGAGTAAGCACGGAGGCGGAAACCACCGAACTAACGCAGGTAGCCCAAACGAAGGATTAGGGATATTAGTCTCCGAGCATTACAAGCCAGGTGACCAATGCAAAGCTGCAGCACAAGGGACCAAAGATCAGCTATTCCAGCTGAGAAATACATTGAGCAATCGAAAGGCAGAAGTCATTATCCCAATGTATAAGGCACTGGTGAGACCCCACCTAGAATACTGTGTCCAGGCCTGGGCACCCAACCTGCAGA